AAGCTTTTTGCTTACTCGATAGAACAAGTGGTAGAAGAAACACAAGGCAATATTGTATTATTTTAAATTTGAATGCAGAAATTATCAAAAAAAAAAAGAAAATCTAACCTAAGTGAAACTTAGAATTTAAATACTTGCTCATATTATAATTAATGGTAATTATATAATGTAATAAAATTATTATTTTTAGTAAAATTTCAATTGTTTTAAACTAAGTTATACATAATGGTGCAATCTATGATATAAATTAGATGCAGAATAATGGTGCTATGGAACTATGTAGCTAGAAAAAGAATAGACAAATTATAAAAAATTACTTTAGAGTTTGCAAAAGCACAATAATAATCCATCGTCCTTTAGAACCCCATAGTTTTTTAGCAGACACTTCTATAAACACTTCAATATACTCCAACATGGTAAGGAAACACTTGATGTTTTCAGGGGAAAATATCTTTTTATTTCCTTTGTCATTGGTTGGTGTAGATTTTTTGTCAATATTCAATATGATTTGATCATTAAATAGCAACATGAAGTTTGACATTGAATAAATAAGCTCGGATAATAATGTTGAGTTGTTTATTCGTCCTGCAAACATGTGATGGTGTATAGTTGAGAGTATTTTTATTTGGATTAAAATGAATGTGTAACATACCAGCTAAAAAATAAGAAATCCATTTTATTGAAGATTCTAGATCTGTAATGCGTTCTGGATGACTGCTGACCCAATTGATATAATGTTTATAAAGTATTTTCAACGTAGGTAATGATAAATGTTCCATTTTATTTCTATAGTACACAAGTAAAAGAAATTTAATTAATTTACATGAATTAAAATTAGTATAACGCTGGTACTGAACTTTATATCATTTTTGAATATTATATTGGGTTGATTATTTTTGTTATTGAAGAATCTATTGCGATAAGCGTTATCAATTGTTTTTACCGGTTATCAATTACTGCGTACAAGTTGTCTCAAATGTTATACAAAACGGTGAGTATTCCGCAGTTATAAAAACAACCATAACACTTAACAATTCTTCAACATTGTAAAATTGAAATTTTCCATCGGGAAATGAAAAACAAAAAATTTTGTGTTACAAAACAGTATAAAGACAAATAATATTGATCG